GGCAGACTGACCAAGTACACTGCTGAGGGGAGCAGCAGGCAGCAACAGAGGTCTGCGCGCCATGTGGGACCCTCGCCCGGCAGCTGGGGATACAACCGGCCCTGCAGAGGCTGCAGGCAGCTTCGCAACCCAGCGCTCAACCGCTGCGCCACCAGGGAGGCCCCCCTACTGTTTTTTTTTTTTTAATTAATTAATTATTATTTTTTTAAATAATAAATTTTATTTTTATATTCCCCCCTACTGGTTTTTAACAGGCCCACTGGGCCCTGGTAATTTGGGGGTCCTAGTAAATTTCTTTAATAAGAAAACATTTGTTTTAAGTTTGAATTTATAAGAAATACTTGTTTTTTTGGCTTTAAACTGAGACAGGGGATTTACATTAGTTTCCCAAAGGTCTTGTTTTTCATTTGGTGTCACTGAGAACAAAGGCAGCTTTCCCATCAGCTGCTGTGAGTCTCTCACTTTAGCCTCCAGCATTTTACCTCCTGCCTTGATTTTGGTGTAAGAATTGGAATTCATACTCCCAACCTCCTCCAGGATTTCTTTGTTCTCTAGTTTATGAGCTGGCCAGGCAGGAGTTCAAAAGATCTGAGGACACAGTCCAGGGATGAGCAGGCAGTGGAGGCCTCATTACCCACCTGGAAGAGAATAACAGGAAAAGCACCCCTTTTTGTCATCTCTGACCTGTAGCCAAAAGGCACCCCTTTGGGGTCTCAGAATTTGGAGGGGAAGGTGCCTTCACCCACAAGTTGGGGGGAAGAGATCCTATGGATTAGTCACCCTTACCCATGCCCAGCAGTTTCTCTTCCTGTCCCTGCAGTCGGGCACCTGCCTGGAGGGCGGGTCTCAGGGGCTGGTGAGATGCCAGGACACGGAGGAGGAGCCTTTCCCAGATTCCAGGACAATATCTGTGGTGCCTGAATGGAGGAGCAGGGAAACCAAGGAGGGGACCCAGGGGCCAGTCCAGGGGGGACAGAAAATCTGTGAGGACAGACTCGGGGCTGACTAGGACCAGGGTAGTTTCCAGGGTTATGTCCCAAGTGGTATGTGGGGAAAGGTGGGTGTAACTCAGGGCTTGGGACAGATTTAAGAATCACAGATTATTGAAGCAAAACCATGACCACGTGTCAGGGACGTGGACAGAGACCACCTGGCCCAGTATGAAGAATTCTGGGGTCCTGAGAGGAAAAATCTGGAGACAAAGTAAACTGACTTGATAGTCTAGAAACTGAAATAACAAACCACAGACCACAGGCAATGAAGTGGAAACCACGGCTCATGCGCACTCAGTGAACATGGGGAGTTTTGTTGCCATTTGAGGGCCAAAAAGCCACACATTCATTTAATCACAGTGTCAGTGAGGATCATCATGGCTTTTAATATTGTCCTCTGCTTAGGCTCAAGGAGGCAAATTGACCCAAAACAAGGTGGATACAATCTGAGCAATTTTGATGGTCATTTCAGCTAAAACCTGGAAAATAGTTTGACTGCCCCACCACTTTACAAAGGTATGTAGTTTGTATGCGGTTATATGAAATGATTTTTATTTTTATGTCTTCAAAAATTGAGAAAAGCTGATGGTTGATGTGATGTTTAAGGCCATAAGTTTTCTGGCTTGTGTGTTTTCTATTAGTAACTTGTTATATAATGTGAAAGTAGTACTCATGTGAAGGAATTGATGTGATTTGGGTGAGTATATACAGGTTAATTATAAAGTGAAATCATTATTTCCTTGTCTTTTTTATTAAAGATTTGTTTTTATTTATTTATGCATACAAGAACTGGAGTATAGGCCACAGGTGTGGGGGTAAGAAGATTCACCAGAGACAGAGTAGGGGAGCAGAACAGGTGGACCTACTGAAATACACTGTTGAAGGGAGCAGCAGGTGAGACAGGAGAGGTCTGCTGTGCCTTGTGGGTTAGCTCCCTAATGAAATGATGCTTCAGACATTGCCTGTAAATGCAAGTTTTTCTAATAAAACTGATAATTAAAGTATTTACCATAGATATTAATGATAATATATGGCCATGAAGGTATGAAAACAGCTAAGCTGATGCTTATGATTAACTGATAGTTTGTGGATGAAAGGAAAAGGCAGAGTTTGATAAACTTATCTGATGAAAGACCAAAGATGAATAACATATCATATATTGATATATCATATTTTTATGGGGCAATAACATATATTTTGGAGTTTTGCACCTATAACCCACCCAAAAATATGGTTGAAAAATCAAAGTTATCAGAATAAATATAATAAAATAAATAACTATGAAAATGAATCAGGCATGGACTCTGTTCCAGGCAGAGTATTGTCTGGGAATGTTCTGAGAATGGAGGGACCAGGGAGGCTTCAGATTGGACTGCAGTAGTTACTCAAAAGGAGGGAGGGCTGATAAATTATATAGTTAAGTGAGACACATCATTGAATTATTTAAATGTTCATTGTTTCCAAGAGAAGAAAGGAATAATATATCATAATGTTCTTCATAAGTGTCAAAACTCCTTTAATTGTATACTTAACAATTGTGCATTTCTCCAGATAGAGTTTCATCTCAAAAAAAAATCTTAACCCAAGTGTTGAGAAATGAAATGTGGGGAGTCCCTTATGACACAAGGGGTTAAGGCTCAGCACTGTGACACTATTGGCAACCACTGCAGTAAGTTTGAACCCCAGCCAGGGAGCTGACCCACATGGTACAGCAGACCTCTCCTGCCTTACCCGCTGCTCCCCTCAGCAGTGTATTTTGGTAGATCCACCTGCTCTGCTCCCCACTCTGTCTCTGGTGAATCCTCTCACCCTCATATCTCTGACTCTTGTATGCATAAATAAAGTAAATGTCTAAAAAATAATAAAAAAAAAAGAAATGTACTGTCTTCTGCAGCTAACTTTGAAATGCACCAGAAAAACAAGATGGATGAATGAGATGGATCCGTGGATAAAGATAAGTCATAAAGCAAATGTGGCGAATGCTAATGCTGGATCTAGGTGGTGTGCTTTGCACTGTTATTTCAATTTTTCTGTGTATTTGAAAATGTTCATAAAGTACAACAGACTGACTGGTGAATGTGGCCACACTCTGGGGGCAGGTCAAGGCCTCCAGCCTGTCCTTCAAAGCTTCCGAGGGCACCCATTTTTCTGAGTAGCCTGGAGGATGGAGACCATCACTCACTAAGGTGTTCCGTGTGCCTGTCAGCCTGGCAGAAATCACGGCTCTGTGTGGAGTTTTCAGTATTTCCTCAGTGTCAGCTCCCAACATGCTCACGCATCTGCTTCTTGGAGGTTCTGCAGCAGCTGCTCTCTGGACTTGGCCTGGTCCATGTCTACCAACACCTGCATTGGTTGAGATGCTTCCTGTTAGAATTTTTTAATGTTTTCCGTGACCAGAATCATGTGTTCTTTCAGAAAAGTTGTCTCCTGTGTCAGGGCTGTGGCACTACAGAGCACAGGGGCATGATCTGAAGGGCCTGGGGACCTGCTTCCTCCTGGTGCTTTGGCTCTTGGGTGAGCAGCTGCAGCCTCCTCCCCGGGGAGGTTTGTCACTGTCTCTTGGCAGTCTTTCTAGGGCTCCTGATGGTCGCCCTGCTCTCTGCTTCTGCACATGGAATCTTTCAGCCAGGATCTTGGAGATGTCCCTGTCCACACAGTCCAGGCCTCTTGCCCAGGCCTTGAGAGCTGGTTGAGTGGCAAGGAGGCCTCAAAGTGGCCCCTCAGATCCACAACACAGGCATTTGCCCCCTTAGGCCCCTCTGGCAGGTGGTTGAGATACACACCAGGATTATGACAGCCAGTCACAGCTGACCAGTGAGTAGATCAGATACTTTTCCTTCTTGGATTTTTTTTTTTTTAATTGGCCCTGGAATTATAATTATCCTGTTCCCTCACTAGCTTAGTTCCTGTTGTGCTCATTCCTAATCATCCCCAAGACCACCCTGGGGTCGGAATCTCCATGGACATATCACACACACCAGCTATTCTGCCCACTTCATCCTGGGCAGACCCCTGTCCCACAGCCTCAGTCCTGCCTCCCGGGGCCTGGGGCCTGCTCACCTGGGCAGGGCTTAGGCCCAGATCTCTCACCTCACCCTTGGTGTCTTTCCTGTCCCACTTCCCTGTGGCTGATTTTCCTGTGTCTTGTTCTTTGTGTCCATCATCTTTGTTTCCTCTTTGCCCAACAGTGTCCTTTGCCCACTAGAGGAGGGACGTGGAAAATAACCCCTGAGACCATGAGCAGCTGAAGTGAATGTCTGTGCCCCCAGTGCCTCCCTCACCTGGGTCTGACATGGAGTCTGGGCTGGATTCCCCTGAGGACTGGGCAGGCCTGGCTCCAGGGTCTTCTGGCTTCCAGGTCTGTGTTTTCTCTTGAAGGTTCCAAGGTCTGTCCTTCTCCAGCCTCTTTCTGAAAGTTCCTGGTGGCAGGTCATTGTGATACTGAATGCTGGCCTCAGTTTCCCTCAGCCAATAAAAGGAAACAGAGTTTGAGGAAAAGGAAAGTCTTGTTTTAATTTGTCGACAAATGAGGAGGGCAGCAGACTCCTGTCTGAAAGACAACCATCTTACTCTTTGGCAGAGTGCAGGGGTATTTATACAAAGGGAAAAACGGGGAGATGGGTTAGAGTCTGCAAAGGGGAGGGGGAGGGGGTCGGCACAGAGACAGGTGGGCGCCAGCTTACTTTTCTTCAATAACTGAGGTTTAACTCTCTCTTCCTTGAAATGCAGGGGGACTTGTTAATGCTCATGTGAGAGACAGGTCATAAAGAAACACCTGTCAAACAAGGGGGAAATTGCAGGAGATAAGGGAAAGACAAACTTGTTAATGCCTATCTAAGAGACCAGTCATTCGTGACTGCATCATAATCCCCACTCTCTGTTATGACCTCTCATTTCTGTGGGAGAAAGGGGCGTCACATCTTCTGGCTGCTTCCTGCTGAATGGGGTCGTGGTGGTGGTTGTGGGAGTTTACCATGGAAAGCCTGCATTTGCTGGCGCCACAGTTCCCGACATGATGTTAAGGCTTTGGTGGCGGTGTGGCAGCAGTAAGTTATAGAACATAGCATAGTCCTAGATGTACGAGGGATTACTTTTTCTCTTCCTCAAGATGATGACATTTAGGGTACAGCCCTCACTGAAGAGGACCAGAGACTAATGTAAATAGTTACTGAGACATAATTTTTCTCTACCCTCATCCCAATTCTGTAAAATAGTAAAGCAAATCTAATTTTAAACAATTTTCCCTATATTTGTTTAAACTCATAGGGCAGAATAACCAAGAAGAATGTTGTTGGCTTTGCTGAAAACTCCACAGGGCCTAGAGTGAGCCTTTTGACACCCAGTCCATGCAGGCTGCTTCAAAGTCACGGTCTTACCAGACTTCACCTGAGATTTCCTCTTCTCGAGGTTCCCAGGGCTTTTCCCAGGGTTTTTTCCAGCCCTGCCAATGGGGGCAGCTTCCTCACCTTTCATGGAGAGCTGTGGAACCCGGTAAGCAAGGCTTTTCTTGGCTTGCTTTTCTTGGCTCGTTCCTCTCAGCTCAGCTCAGCTCAAATTTTACTCCCAGAAGAATTTCAATCAAAGCCTTGTAACAAAACATGTTTTTAATTTTCTAATTTAAGAAGAAATAAACCAAATTCCCTATTGAGATTATGCAAAGCTACACATTGTCCTGAGAAGTACAAATATGGTCTATACATTTTTGGGATGAGAAAAGAGAAAAACAAATGTTTCAGTTTGGTCATAAAAAGATGCAACTTGCCACTGCTAAGATCATAGCCCAGTTTAAAGACACGTTTTCTGGAAATAAAACAAAACATTAAAAACCAATATAATTTTTAAAAAAGTCATTAAATATTATACAAATCCTCCTCAGTGTAGTTTTCCAGTGTATTTAGTCTCTATATCTTCTGTTGGTAATTTTCATAAATCCAATTTTTGATAGGCTTGGTAGGTCTTCTCAGTTCCAAAACATATCTATATTGTCAGTCTCTTTTTGTGAGTTTTCTGAAGACAAAGCTCAGCAAGTAACCTTTGGAAATAACAATAACTTGTAAATGACCATACCTAAAATTATGGTTTAAGGCAAGAGACAAGGATGTTTGCTCAATTTTATGACACACACACACATACATTTCAGAATAATCAGAATCATCCAATAATATTATATCAGAACATAGTAGGTTTTAAATATCTCCTATATTTTAGAACACTTTTTTAAAAAAGATTTATTTATTTATTTATACAAGAACTGGGGTACAGTCCAGATTCGCAGGAGGGTGAGAGGATTCACCAGCAACAGAGCAGGGAACAGAAGAGGCAGACTGCTGAGGGGAGCAACGGGTATAACAGGAGAGGTGTGCCATGCTATGTGGGACCCTTGCAGGCTGGCTGAAACCGAACTGGTACTATAGAGGCTGTGGACATCTTCACAGCGCTGTGCTCAGCAGCCTGCACCACCAGGGGAGGCCCTATTTTAGAACACTTTAATCAATTTTTATATATGCTGAAAAGGTATAACTTTTCCCTCAATAATGATATTTTTTTCTATGAAGTTTTAACATCTCTAGATTGGTCCAATGTGTTTTAGCATTTTCCACACATCAAATCATTCTACTGATCAAAAACTTTACTATTTTTGAAATTTGACTTCAAGAAAAATTTTGTCACAGGCTTAATAAATATATACAGATTTTTATAAAACAACACTAAATTACCCAGACTGATAACTGGAGGTTTTTAAAAGTAGAGATCTTTTCACAGTGCTCAACAATGCTGACAGGACTACAATTTTCAGTTAACCAAGTCTGAGGGTAAAAGAGAACCAAAATGTTAGATCACCCAAACATCTTTAATTTGTCATCAAGAACTTGTAAAAGCAGTTTAAGAATACTTGAGTCTTTACTGCAAATGAAAAATAAAGTTTGGTTTTACATAAGTACACTGCTGACAATAAACTTAAAGATATCTAAAGCAAGTCATTCTAGCACACAACATTTTTTCTAAGATTCTTCTCTCAGACCTTCAGACCTTCAACACCTTTTTTTTTTTTGCCTTCCTATTTTGCACCTTTTTTTTTTCAAAGATAGCCATTTTTTTTTAATAATAAATTTTATTTTTATATTCCCCATACAATTGCAGCCCCCCCCCCATTCTGACCCCAATCCCTCCCCTCCCACCCCCGCCCCATGAAAGTGTCTCTGGTTCGTAGTTTTTTGTTGATTTTGATTTTCACTTTCTTATAGTTATTCGTTTTCCTGGTCCCTTATTTAAGTTTTCTAGATTCCTGCTATGAGTGAGACCATCCGGTATTTTTCTTTTTCTTTTTGGCTTATTTCGCTGAGCATGATCCCTTCCAGTGCCATCCATGTTGCTGCAAATTGCATGTGTTTATCTTTTTTGAATGCTGAGTAATATTCCATGGTGTATATGGACCACATCTTCTTGATCCAGTCATCTATTTTTGGGCATTTGGGTTGTTTCCAAAGCTTAGCTATTGTAAACAGTGCTGCTATAAACATAGGGGTGCAGGTGTTCTTTGGAATTGATGTTTCTGTGTCCTTTGGGTAAATACCTAGGAGTGGAATTGCTGGATCATATGGAAGCTCTATGTTTAGTAGGTCCAGAAATCTCCACACAGCTCTCCACAGTGGTTGGACCAGTTTGCACTCCCACCAACAGTGCAGAAGAGTTCCTTTTTCTCCACAGCCTCGCCAACATTTGTTGTTGCTAGTTTTTTTAATATGTGCCATTCTCACTGGTGTAAGATGGTATCTCATGGTAGTTTTGATTTGCATTTCCCTGATGACAAGTGATGTTGAACATTTTTTCATATGCCTGTTGGCCATTTGCATTTCCTCTTCAGAGAAGTTTCTTTTTAGCTCTTCTGCCCATTTTTTGACTGGATTACTTTCTTTGTTGTTGTTGAGTCTCATCAGCTCTTTGCAGATTTTTGTGATCAGTCCTTTATCATTAGTGTTGGGCGCAAAAATGTTCTCCCAGTTGGTGGGGTTTCTCTTTCTTTTTGCTATTGTCTCTTTTGCTGTGCAGAAGCTCTTTAATTTGATGTAGTCCCAGCTGTTTATCTTTGCCTTCACTATCACTGCTTTGGGTGATGTGTTTGTAAAGATGTCTTTGATGTGCAAATCACGTAGTGTTTTGCCTATATTTCCTTCTATATATTTTATGGTTTCAGGTCTTATGTCTAGTTCTTTAATCCATTTTGAGTTGATTTTTGTGTATGGTGTGAGGTAGTGGTCAAGCTTCATTCTTTTGCATGTAGTGACCCAGTTTTCCCAGCACCATTTATTGAACAAACTTTCTTTGCTCCAATGCATAGTCTTTGCTCCTTTGTCAAAGATTAGTTGACCATAAATCTGTGGGTTTATTTCTGGATTTTCTATTCGATTCCATTGGTCTGTATGTCTGTTCTTGTTCCAATACCATGCAGTTTTGATGATTATGGCTTTGTAGTAGAGTTTGAAGTCTGGGAGTGTGATGCCTCCATTCCCTTCTTTTTTTTTTCAGGAGAGCTTTGGCTCAAAGATAGCCATTTTGTTTTGACACTACATTATTCAAGACCTTTAACATATCTGTTTTAAATAAATGTCTTTCTTTCTTTTTGAAGATTTATTATTTAGGCATACAAGAACTGTGGTACAGGCCAGAGGTGCGGTACTGCTTAGGGGAGCAGCGGGACTTCTCTTCACTGACCTCCCTCAGAGGAGGCAGCTCTCCTGAAGGCCTCCCACCTGCGACCATGCAGGCCTCTCTCAGCAAACCTATTCCTTTCAGGACAACTCTTCCTGCCCCTTGTGTCTATGCAAAGGTCTTTTACTGTTTTATCCCTTCCTTAATAAACCTGGTCTTTAAACATAACTATCATCTCTGTCACGTGGAGAAACTCGCCTGGGAACTCGCCACGTGTTACTGAAACGGGAGCTCTGGTGAAAACTTTCCAAGAGTGAACCCAAGGGCCCCACACTCCAAACCCACCTACTCCATAAACCACATCAGTGTTAGCTCTCCTGCTTCTCTGCTTTCACAATAAACATGCTCTTTCCTCCTATCACTTGGTTCAGGTCGGGTTTGTCACCTTTATTCAGTGTTCATCTTTCATGACAGAGCAAGCTCCATGTCTCCAGGGTCCTCTCTCTGCTCCCCATTGTATCTGCAGGGGAGGCAGCTTGGGGAGGCAGGAGCCAGTCAGGGAGAAGGATGCTGGGAAATGAAGAGGAGGCAAAGGCAGAGAATTTGGGAGATGTTCCCTGTTTCACTAAGAAAAACATTTCTCGAAGTGTGGTCTGTGGAGCCCTTGAAGTCACCCAGAGCCTTTCATGGGATCCATGATGTAAAACTATTTTCAAAACATCACTTAGACACCATTTGTCTTTTCACTATTTTGGCATTCACTGAGGTAAAATTTAGTAAGAGTGGAGCTTATAGTACCACTGCAGAAGTAGTAATTCCTCACCAGCACTTACCTGCAGAAATAAAAATTAAAGCCAGTTTCACTTGAAAAAGTCCTGGAAAAAGCATTAAAAGTTATCTTCATTATTGTGTCACCCTCAACTCCACATTTTAAAATATCTGGTGTGCTGACCTGGAAGGACACACAGAGCACTTCTGTGTTCCCAAGCACTGTGTCCCAAGGAACATATTTGTATGAGATGAATCAGACTTTTTTTATTTGAGGCCAATAGCAATATTACTTGAAGGGATGAATGACAAAAACTAAGGTTATTTAAATTGGGTTAATTAGCAGACACTTTCTGTTTGAAAGTGAATGTCTGTTTCTTGAAGAAAATCAACAATTGGTAAATGATGGTAATTTTACCTGATAAAATATAAGCTCTCAGAGAAAACCACGATTAGAAAAACTGAGTGCATCACTACTTGACAACTTACACTATGAATTTTTCTTTTGGGATTTGTCTTTAAAAAATAAAACATTTTTTGATAATTTGATTCCAGTGTAATTAGCATTGAAAATCTATGTAACTTAGTGAAACACTGTATCACCTTTAAAAAGCCATGCATTAGCACAAGTTCCAACCAATGCAAGAGGACTATGGAAATGTAAGAGAACAGGAAATATTCCATGATATTATTTCAGGTTTCACTTTGCAAATAACCTTCTAGGAACTACCACCTGTACAGTTTTAATTTAGTATCAATATTCACAATTATCTGAAAATACTTCTAGTTTCTTCATTCCTCCAGGCTGCTGCTTCTCCCCTGCTAAGGTGGGGAGAGAATTTGGAGCCTCCCCTTTCTGTGGATGTCACTCTGTTACAGCACCATGTCTCCCTCTCACAGGCTCTTTGGGGTGCTGCAGCCTTGATGACCCCATACTCAGTCCCACTCTCTCTCCCCATTTCCTGGGGGTGTCCAGGGAAGACAATCAGCATCGTCCTGCTCCAGTTACAAAGTCTCCAAGGACCCTCCTGGACTCCTTCTCCCCAGGCCCCTGGATGGGGTGTGATGCCCCTCACCCTCCTGCTGCTGCTCTGGGGGCCCCTGGCCCTGATGGAGACCCGGGCGGGTGAGTGCGTGTCCAGCTGGACACTGTTGCTCCAGGAGGGAGGAGCAAGGAGCCCACTGCGGGTGCAGGACCCCAGGAAAGGCTCATCTCCCCCCAACCTCTTGTACCCCCTGCAGGCACCCTGTGTTCTGGCCCCTTCTGTCCCTCCCGCCTCCCCTGAGTGCTCTGGCCCCCCTGAGTCTGGGCCCCTCCCTGTCCCCAGGTTCCCATTCCCTAAGGATTTTCCACACTGCGATGTCCCGCCCTGGCCTCAGGGAGCCCCACTACATCGCCGTGGGCTACGTGGACGACACGCAGTTCGGGCGGTTCGACAGCGATTCTCCGGGCCAGAGTGCGGAGCCGCGGGCGCCCTGGGCGGGGCAGGTGGGGCAGGAGGACCTGGACGAGGAGACTCAGAACCAAAGGGACAAAGCGCAGTGGTTCAAAGCGCTCCTGAGGGACCTGCTGGGCCGATACAACCAGAGCGAGGACGGTGAGCTTCGCGGAGCGGGGCCAGGGTCAGGTCACCCCCCATTCCCACCCGAAGACCGGGGTGTCCCGAGTCTCAGGGTCCACTGACCCCTCGAGGTGGGTGGTTCTGCCAGGCCCCTCCACCGGGAAGGGGCTTTCCTGCCTGCCCCTTGATTTTTCAGTTTAGGTTCATTCATGGATAGAGAGCGGGGTGACTTCATGGTGACCCCTGGGCTGACCACAGGGGTGGGTTTCAGGATCTCACACCCTGCAGAGGATGTTTGGCTGTGAAGTGGGGCCAGACCTGAGTCTCGTCGGCGGCTATGACCAGTTCGCGTATGACGGCGCGGATTTCATCTCCCTGAGCGAGGACCTGCGCTCCTGGACCCCCGCGGACTCGGGGGCTCAGATCACCCAGCGCGCGTGGGAGGCGGCGGGCAGGGCCGAGCGCGTCAGGCACAGTGTGCAGAGCAGGTGCTTCCCGCGGCTCCGCAGACTCCTGGAGACGGGGAAGGAGGTGCTGCAGCGCACAGGTAAGAGGGGCCACGAGGCCTCGGACCTCCCCTCTTCTGGCGCCCCACAGGGAAATGGAATCATGGGCAGAACAGCAGCTGCTTTCTGGGCAGAGAGGGAGAGTCCCCCTGGGTTTCATGTTCTGTGCCAGAGAGAGACTCGCCCAGAAGACACCACTTTTCTGGACAGTTAAGGAATCCAGTCTCTCCTGAGGGAGGGAGGCCATCCTGAAATAACTCTTCCCTGATCCTTTTGACCCTGCAGCCATCCTGGGAACCATAAGTTTCTCTTTCAAGGTCTTGTTTTTGGTCTGAGAACATTTCTGGATCTGACTCCTGCATTTCTATGTCATTCACCTTCCAACCAGGTCAGGAGCAAAAGTCTGTGTTCTCCTTAGAGACCTGCGTCCTCCTACCCTGGGTTCTCACCTGATTATCCCAGATCCCCCAGACTAGGCTGGTTTCTGGGCTTTGTGCTTCCTCCCTCCAAACCAATTGTCATGTTCATTCTGAGGATGGTCAGTGAAGCTACTTCAGTGTCCAGGAAGAAAAAACCCAAAGTGTGAATTTTTTTTTACCCTTCTCAGATCCCCCAAAGGCACAAGTGACCCTCAACCTCACCTCTGACCGTGAGGTCACCCTGAAGTGCTGGGCCCTGGGCTTCTACCCTGCGGACATCACCCTGATCTGGCAGCGAGATGGGGAGAACCTGACCCAGGACATGGAGCTTGTGGACACCAGGCCTGGGGGTGATGGAACCTTCCAGAAGTGGGTGGCTGTGGTAGTGCCTTCTGGAGAGGAGCAGAGATACACGTGCCATGTGCAACATGCAGGGCTGGAGGAGCTCCGAGTCCTGAGATGGGGTGAGGAGGGGGACTGGACACTGAGCTACTGCTCAGAGGAATCAGGAGCCCTTCTAGAAACCCTCAGAGGGGCAGGATGAGGCCTGGGACTCAGAGTCTGACCTTCGCTTCTGTTCCCTTCCAGTGCCCCCTCCTCAGGCCTTGGTCCTCACTGGGGGTGTCGTTGCTTGCCTGGTTCTCCTTGGAGCTGTGCTCACTGGAGCTGTGGTGGCTGCAGCTGTGATGTGGAGGAAGAAGCGTTCAGATTGGGAAGGAGGTGGGGGAATCTTGTCCACTGGGGGCTTTCATGTCCCAGGGAGAACTTGCCCTGCCTGGCTAATGGGAAGTACCATCCACACACGTGTGTTGCCCAGAGGGCATTTGGTCCAGTCCCCCCTCAGCTCCTTTCTTCAGTTTTCCCAGTCCTGACCTGGGTCTTTAGTCACAGTTCTGGAAACTTCCCTGTGGTGTAGGATTAGAAGATTCCTTTAGGACTTCTGACCTGACTGCTCCCTGGTGTCATATGATGTTTCTTCTGACAGGTGGACAAGGAGATAGCTGTACTCTGGCTCCAGGTAAGTGTGGATTAAGAGTTTGATCCCTGAGCCTCTGAGGACAGTGTAGATGCAGTGCATGGGGGACTCCCCCTCTTCAGCCCCTCCTGATCTCATCTCTGACCAAGTTTTGTTGTATTCTCCTCTGAACAGAGGCAGTGCCCAGGGCTCTGAAGTATATCTCAGTCCCTAATGGTGAGACCCTTGAGCTTGCAGTAGTTGCTAGGGATTGAAGCAGAGAGGCTGGGATTAGGTGATGGGGATGCTTTCAGGAGGACATCTTGAGAATGCAGTGGACCATTGATAATGTTAACACTCAGGTCCTTCACCTGAATTTCTTCATAATCATTTTCTTTCACAGTGTGAGACAGCCGTGTGTGGATTTTTTTCCCACATTTTCTGGCTTTATGTTCCCCTGGTTTAAACCACTTCACACCAGCAAGAACGGCCCATATCCAAAAGACCAGAAACAACAAGTGCTGACAAGGATATGGAAAAAAGGAGACAGTCCTGCATTGTTTTTGGATAAAGACTGAACCAACCCTTATGGAAACAGTACTGAGGTTTCTTAAAAGAGTAAATGTGGTTCTGCCATTGGACCCAGCAATTCTACACTGAGGATCTCCTCACAGAGGATAAAGACACTCCTGTGAAGGGACCTGCACTCCCGTCACCACTGCAGCACTATTTACAGTAGCCAAGCTATGGGAACCACCTGAATGCCCCAGACAGGTGACACAGCAAGTAGAAGCTGGGATTACATGTATACGTGTATGTACATATACAGGTGATGTATGTCCCTGTATAATGAAGTAGCATCCACGATCAGAAAGCATAACTCATGCCACTGTGGCAACATGGATGGAAGAGGTATAAGTAAGAAGGAGAAAAAGAAATCCTTATATATGGATGGAGAGAAAGCAGACAAAGGGCCAGATTAGATTAAGCCAAACTTGAAAACTAACACTTGAACCCCACCAGGCTGCACCTATTGCTGACTAGGGCTGCAGACCAGCCCAGGCTTCCTGGCCGGGCAGTTCTGGATGGTGGACGGACCCTCTATAGTTTGGCATCAGACTCATTTGATGACAAAGCCTGACTCCCATTGACTGAGTCCTCCCTTTTGTATTGTTTCACCTGCGCCACCACTGGGTCCCCAGCCTCTGCTGTTTGCTGGGCCTGAGATGGATCTTTTACTCGATGCTGCAGATTATGACTTTTTTTACACCACTTATATATCCACCACATGGCCAGAAGGTGACATCTTCTGACAAATTTTTATTCTCCTGATGGTAACAAATCTTGATGCTTTTATCCTTTATTTTCCCTTTACAACACTGAGTTATTATTTTTCTATAATTTCCTAATGAAACGTCCACAATTTTTTAAGTTTTTTTTTTTTTTAATTTTTGCTTAGAATAACTGGGGTGTGGCCAGTGGTTTATGGCAGAGGCGTGAGAGGATTCACCAGAGACAGAGTGGGGAGCAGAACTGGTGGATATACTGAAATGCACTGCTGAGGGGAGCAGTGGGCGAGACAGGAGTGGTCTGCTGCTCCATGTGGGTCAGCTCCCTGGCCTGGGACCCATTCAGGCTGTTGCAGCGGGCCTTCTTGGTAGTAGTGCTGAGACTTAACCCTTAGGCAACCAGAGAGGTCCAACACCCACAATTTTTAAAGAATCAGGTCTTACAAGAAATTGTTTACTGTTACATCATTACCATGGATTAAGTAGTTTCACCATTTCATTGTTCCTGCTGGAGCTGAGAGGATACAGCAAATTATATGTCAAAATATGAGAGTTTCCAAATGACTGGATTCAGCTCATTATTAGTGAATGGTCCACAAGCTGGCTTATTTAGGTTGTACATCTTGGTCAATATCTGGACAGTTTCCATTCATTATGGTGATTTTTGTATCTTCTGTTCTTAAGGACATTTATTAATGGCTCAGCACTATAACAAGGAAACACAAATACACGATTCAGGTGGTGCCTGGTGTCAGGAGTGAGCTCTGTTTTCCATACTGGTCCAGCAATGACCAATAGTACTTTGTTTTCGGGGAAGCCTTAGTATGAGAGCAGTTCTGATACAATCTAGTAGTGACTATGCAAATGATCCACTTCATAGTAGGCATGATAATACTATCATCTCCCTAAACACAGGAAGCTTATTCTCTGGAGATATTATCAAATATTACATTTTACTGATGAATAAATAAACTGGAATTTATAAAAATTATCCATACTACCATGATTCAATCCAGATGTGGGATTATTTAACTAAGGATTTTGATGGTTTTTATTTTTAAAAGCATTATGTAATAAGTGTAGAATTATGTGAATATAAGTGAATTTAGAAAGAGAAACTTGATGGCCAAGCAGTACATTTGGCTGCCGGATTTTTAACTAAGCTGATACACTGCGCTTTTTCTATGTTTCAAAGTGAAAAACCTATACTTTTCTATAAAAGGAAATAATTGACAAATATTTAGGCTTGTCACTGAAGTTTGGTTTGAAATTCATAATCTTTTCTCTGAGTAAGATTTGTTATCAATGGACCTTTTGGACAGGGTAACATGGTGCAACCACTCTTTAGAAGCCTCAGTCTGGTTGCAGAGGTGAAGGTGAGAGGTGGGGAGATAAATATATGAAACTAGCAAAGATTCTAGGATGGAAAATTTGGTAGCTTTTTGGGGTGTGATCAGGAAAATAAAAGGAAGTCATTGGAGCTGGATATATTTAGAGAAAGACTTTATAGCATTTCCTAATGTAACATCTGGGGTGTGAGAAAGAGGGGTCAGGAGGCCACCCAACATTTCAGACTGTGAAGTAGAGATGTGAAGGGCCTGTCACTATCCCTGGATGGATTTCTCACTGATTTGATACAAATTTACAACAGAATTTTTTCAAGTAAAATTTACTAAAGGCATTAATAGATACATGTGAATGTGTGTATATTTGTATATAATAGTATAGTGTGTGACACTGACTCCAGATCCCTGTGGCTACCCAGCTCTTTCCTGTTCCCTGAGTGGTGGGACATGTGGGTTTTGTTGGTGTGGCTGTCCCAGGGGGCACAGCCAGAGGCCAGTGGGAGCAGGAGTCTGAAAGTGCTGGCAACAGCAGTGGTGGTTTCCTGCCCTGGCACCCTGTGTGTGCAGGTGGGCACAGCTCTAGAGGTGGTGGCAGAGGGGGGTTTCCTGCCAGGGTGCAGGCAGCCTTCAGAGGGTCCCTCCCCCAGAGCAAGCCTGGTTTGAGCAAAGAAGCCCCTAGGGCTTAGGATCCTCCTCCCCTGCCCCCCAGAGGAGCTACTTCTGGGCAGCACCAAGGATGCCCTGCAGTGGGTGCCACAAGACAGCTTCACTGAGGCCACCTCGCTGGGTTAGGCATGAGAGCTGGGGGGCATCAGCTGGGTTTGAATGGACCCCACCTGCTCTGGCAGGCTCCAGGAGGCCGCTGCTTGAGGACAGGGCCCAGGCCACCCTGACAGCTGTGCCCACTGCAACCAGCAGCGGGAGTGGCAGTGGGTGACAGTGGGTAGGCACTTCACCACCAGCCCCCGTCAGTGTCTTCAACAAAGGCGGTGGCCAATCTGGCAGCAGAGGCTCTCTGTCCCCCCCATACCACCCCAGGGCATGCAACCCTCTGGGGTACAACAGCAAGATCACCTTTGAGACCTGACATTGCTGCTGACTGTCTGGCACCACCTCCTAGTGCTGTTGCCTCCTTCCCATCCAGCCAGGCCATCAGACTGTGGCTGTGCCTGCTGGGGTGTCCCCTCAGAGGTGAGAACCTGCTGGGGTGTCCCCTCAGAGGTGAGAACCTCCTGGGAGCACCTCCCGCTGCCATGTGAGTTGGACCCTGGCCCAGTGCTTGTGGCTGTGCCCCAAACTCCAGGCCCTCCCTGACAAAACTGTACCATCTTACATGGGCAGCCTTAATTTAGGACTCTTTGGGACACTGCAGACTCTCTCTTGGGTGACACAGCCGGCCACGGAGGCCTTAGAGACTCTTTATTTCCCTGCTCTCCTGTTTGTTAGAGAAACCTCATTGCTGTTCCCTGAGCCTGAGTGGTTGCAACTGAGCACACGGGTGAGAACCACAGACAGTGCCCTGTCCTCTACCTTAGCTCTGTCCTTCTGAGAGGGGGCCAGGGAGGAAGGGCCCATACCTGGTACAGGAACCTGCAAACACACAGGCTGCACACACACGCTACATGACTCATGATCTGTTTTCTTTGAACTAAAGCTCTTGTTTTAAACTGAGATCCTACCCTGCTGATGCCCCAAAGAGTGCCGGACACTGACGCCTTCTGATGTATCAGGGGCAGGATACCCGGGAGGCTGAAAGCAAGTTCTGGGGATGAACATGATGGACACCAGGAGTGTCAGCCTTGATGGGCTGTTCTGATGGACGATTTGCTCAGAACATGAGGGTTTGTTAGTGCAGAGAGCACCAGGAGACACACAGGAGAGAGACGTGTGGAGAAGCCGCCTTGCCTCTTGGCTTTGGACTTGAACCAGGAACTTACAGACTTGGAAGGAGACACCTGGAAGAGACTCCATGATGGCCTGAGTTGGATCCCCGGCCAGGGAGCTACCCACATGACGCAGTAGACCTCTCCTGTCATGCCCACTGCTCCCCTCAGCAGTGTATTTCAGTAGATCTGCCTGTTCTTTTCTCCACTCTGTCTCTGATGAATCCTGTCATCACCATTGCCTCCCTCCCCCAACCTCTGACCTACACCCAGATCTTCTATGCATAAATAAATAAATCTTAAAAAAAATGTTTGTTTCCATAAATCCAATTAAGTTTTCTCCCCCCTTCTCTTTAATAGACCATTGGAAATATTAGTAATTTACCATGGCTTTATCTGTAATGTTGTGTTTTCAGACACCAGACTGATCTCAGAGCCTACAAGAAACAGTAAACTGGCACTTGTTTTAGGGGTACAAAAGATCTGTCATTATGGTAAAAAAGGCAACCCCTTGACAAGCCCAGAAACCCAGATGTCTCGGGAGCCTCGAGAGGGATTTCCCCAAAGATACATATACCGCAGGCCATGTCTGATGGTGAGACCTTGGCGTGGTCCTTAGCCCTGACTCCTGGCTTTTAGGAGCTCTCAGTCTGAGGTTCGTATAAGTGGCAACAAAGCAAAATCAAAATGTCTGCATAATAATTTCTGTTCCTGTTGAATTCATGCAAACTGACTATGGAGGTGTAGTGTCTGGGTGAGGCCGGGGGCTGATAACAGTCTGGAGGTTGAACGTGCTGGATACCAGGAGCACAACTGTGACGGGCTGTTCTGACGGCTGTTTGCTGTGACTGTCTGTGTGTGACTGATTATAACGAGGCCAGCTGGAGATGAGATGGGGGAACAGGCCCTTCAGGGTGAGATGCCCCCCATTCTCTCAGATCAATGGCCCATGGTCTGAAAAGTGAAAGAGCTTGTAGATTCCATTCCTGGCTCTGCTTGTGGCTTTCTGGGGGTGACGGCAGCAGCACCCAGGCCTATCCCACCAACAGTTGTAGATATTTGCTGTCCGTGCTGTCAGGGGTGTGGTGTGCACGTGCTTCCTCAGGGGTCTCTGCGTTATGGCGCTTCCTGTGCAGTAGCTGTTGAGTGTGCGGGAGCCCCTGGGTCACATTCCCTGTTGTTCTCCTCGCTGCAGGGGACGGGGCCACAGAGATATCTCTGACATGTGTGTCATGGCGCGTTCTGTCCTTGTTTTCTTCCATGGATTTTATGGCTTCTGGTCTTACATCCCAGCCCGTTATCCATTTTGAGTTGATTTTTGTGTGAGGTGGGAGACAGTGGTCTAGTTTCATTCTTTTGCACGTGGCTGTCCAGCGTCCCCAACACCGTTTACCGAAGAGGCTTTCCTTGTGACCCCTCATCTTAACCTTATGAACCTAAACTTTACTGGAGTGCATGTTGGAGAAAGGGGTTCACTTCATCCCGTCAGGAGCTGTGTTTTCAATTCACAATTCATTTTACATTCTCCACTGTCTTTTGGCAACCTTAGGTATTTACCTGAAACTATTTCAAAAGCACGTAAAATAATTTAAAAAGTTAGAGGTATATGGCCATTAAAGAGGAAAATAAGTGATCAACCCGTTAGGATCAGGACAATTTGTATATGACAAGACAGAACAGGGAACAGGGAACAGTGTGTGTTGACAAAGCAGCAAAAACAGGCCCTGAGGAGCTGGAGAGGCAGTGAGAGGGTGAGTATACTTCATGCGGGGTGCCCAGTGTCCCCCGGGGTTGTCCAGGGACACCTGCCCTGTGCTCTTTTTCCTCCTCACATGGACCCAAGGGCAGCACTGGGGAGAGATGAGGTTTCAGGGTGTGTCCTCCTGGGGCAGTTTTGAGTAGAAGTTTCCCCTCCTGCTCCCCTCCCCCTGGGGTGGGTGGAGCTGGGGGCTGGGCTGGGCTGAGAGCTGGGGTCGGGGTGGGGCACATCCTGCAACTACAACCCCTCCACCCTCCCAACCCCCCCAGAAGTCTGGCTGGTCCGCTACCCTGGGGGACGGGGTGGGAGTTTCAGTGTTTTCTTGGGAAACTGTTATCCCATCTTCCCTTCCTCTCTATGGCGCTGCTCTACTATGTTCTTTCACACTCAGAGTGTGCTCTGCCTTTATGTGGCAGAAGGCCAAGGTCATTTAGAGCATACAGGTTTGGGGGTCCCGGGGGGCCCCTCATTCTGCCTGCTAACTTATTGAAGGTGTTTTCTCTGATCAGGATTCATCTCCCCTTTTCTGCTGCTCTGACTCACTGAGTCCCTCATCCCAAGGCAGGAATCCCCACCAAAGTTAGAGAGGAGGAGGGAGAAGTCCTCAGTGGGGATCTGACCCGCCTCCTGCTGTGTTTGGGGCAGGACCTTGTTCTTGTCCCTGGCAGGTCAGGGACTGAACTTCAGGTGACTGAACAAGCAGACAGAGTAGGATAGGGCCCCTGGGGAGACCCCGATTCCTTGGGGACAATGTTGTGTGTCCTGATGCTTCTCCGTGACACCTGCTCACAGTGAGGGTTAGACCACAAGCAGGCTCTGGCCTGTCCTTCCTGGGGTGCGTGGGTCTGGGTCTCTGTCCTGGGGAGCCACTAGGCGTGATGATGGGGAGGGAGGGCAGTTTGTACCCCGGGTCCAGGTGCTGGGAATGGAGGGGCCTTGTGCTCTGAGCAGAGTGGGTCTGGGGTGTGGGTTCCACGGGGTGGGAGGGGAAGGGAGGATGTTTTTCTCCAATAAACCTCATGGTCTCCAGCAGCACAGAGGCTCAGCAGCCCTGAGAGGAGCCAGGTCTCTCCTTCTCTGTTTTTGATATCAAGGGAATGTTGGCCTCATGAGATGTGATGGCAGCATTTCCT